CCTCCTCTGCAGTTCTTGGAGTCTTAGCAAATCTCTCCTGCAGTATAACAGGGCTCCCAGGTTTCCTGTCTCCTTGTTGCCTGTCACCTGCCCTGAGTGCCCATGCCATGCAGTTTGTTCTAGTCCAAAACTTCTAAGTACCCACTGCACTGATCAGTCAGATTTTACTGGTTTGTGCCACATAACAAACATCCCCTGGATATCAGTGGACACTGGAGTCCAGGCTGACCCGCATCCGGGTTCCTGTTGGGGCCGTGTGGCTGCCCCAGTGCTCTGCTTTATGCCATCTTCCTCTTGGGATGCAGAGAGAAGTCACAGCCCCTCTGGAGAGGATGGAGCAGGGCTGGTGTGGGACATGCCCGTCACACTTTATCAGCCAAGCAGGGGAGCGGGATGGATGTGTGCTCCTGGGGCAGGGGACTGCTGGGGGCAGCGGCACCATCTCCCCCATGGGTAGTGTTGGTTCAGGTTTACTGTGGGTGGGGCTTCGAGCCAAAGTCCCACCCCTGTGTTCATTGACTGCACCATAGCCCTTCCTTCCTTCCTTCCTTCCTTCCTTCCTTCCTTCCTTCCTTCCTTCCTTCCTTCCTTCCTTTTTTCAGTACTAGGAATTTAATCCTGGATCTTCACAGTGAGCTCCATCCCCAGCCCCTTTATTATTTTTTATTTTGAGACAGGGTTTCACTAAGTTGTTAAGTTGGTCAAGTTGGGCTTGAACTTGAATCCTTCTGCCTCATCCTCCCAGTGCTAGGATGACAGGCCTGCACTCCCACGCCCACCTGGCTCATAGCCCCATGCTTTAGGTAAGAGTGAGTGGAGCCTTCAAGAAGGGAAAAGAGGGGTTCATTCTCTAGGGGATCCGTGTGCCCTGCAAACCCCAAAGGTCCACACAGACCGGGTCTCTCTGCTCGGGGAAGAGGGCACTGCTGGTTAAGACGTGGCCTGCGCCTGCTTCCGGAGCCCACAGCTCAGCCGCCTTCTCCCCCGCTGCTCTTGGGGATGCGGCGAGGGTCCCTCCCAGCCAGTGAGGCGCGTGCGCGTCTCCTGCCGAGGGCTTGAGCAGCTGAGCATCTGTCTGTTTGTTCATTCCGCTGTTTCAATTTCTTTGGCTTCACCTATGACCTTTATATCGTAACTGTCATTTTACAGAAGGGGAAACTGAGGCCGTGGGAGGTCAGAGCCCCCTGTTATAATAGGGGTGTCACGGCAGGACACAAACCCGGGGGAAAGAGGCAGCAAGGTCGGTTCCTCTCTGGGATCTGAGGGCTGTGGGGTGCAGGGGCGGGGTCAGGGGGTGGGGTCCCCCCCTCAGTGCACAAGGAAAAAAGTGGTTGACAGTGTCCTTGGAGCCTGAGACAGCGGGGAGGAGAGAGCAAGGCGGGCAGACGGGCTGAGTCCTGCTGAGCAGCTTAGGAGACCCTGTGTCAACAGAAACAGAAACGGCCTTTGGTGTGGCTCAGTTGCCTAGCATGGCCGGGACCTGGGCTCATTCCCAGCACCACAACACCACACAGACAGGCGTGGTGACGCGTGTCGCGTGTCTGTCATCCCCGCACTTGGGAGGCTGAAGCAGGAGGGTCACCAGGGGTTTGAGGCCCGCCTGGGCAACATAGTAAGACCCTGTCTTTAAAAAAACACCAAACAGCCGGGGCGTGGTGGCTCCTGCCTGTAACCCCCGCACTCGGGAGGCTGAGGCAGGAGGATCGTGGCAAGTTTGAGACCAGCCTGGGCTACAAAATGAGCTCAAAGCCAGTCTGAACTGCATAGAGGGCCCTTGTCTCAAAAAGACAAAAAAAAAAACCCTACTGTGCAATGAGGTTCAGGTCACCCCACGTCCACAGAGACCGAGGTCTGGGGAAAAGGAGGGGGTGGGGCAGCCACAGAGGGGAGAGGTGGGGCTTGCGATGGACACGCCCCTCTCTTGGCCCCAGCCACGCCCACCTCCTCTGGGCAGGGCTGCTGAGTCTGCTGTCCTGGAGTCCTCTGTTCCCCAGCCGGCATCCAGCTTCCTTCATTCATGGGGATGCGGGCCGGGTCCCTCACCCAGCTCCAGCCCTAACCCGTCTTCCCTATGAAAGGGAAGCGATATCTTTAGTGGTAATAATGTCTCCTCTGGCAGGAGGCTGGCCTGCTCCCCTCACCCCCGAGGTCTTAAGGCAAAAGGGGACACAACCTATGTGTCCATCTAGTGGGGACCAGAATACCACAGGCAGATGCATGTGCCCTGGGGGATATTATGCAGCCCTGAAGGAGAATTAAGGGAACAAATCGCCAAATACACTATAATTGACTGACTTGTTTTGTTTTGTTTTCTTGAGATAGGATCTTGCTCTGTAGCCCAGACTGGCCTCAAACTCACGGAGATTGTCCGGTCTCAGCCTCCAGAGTGCTAGGATGATGGGTGTGCGCCCCCAGGCCCCGAGTATTGACTGACTTCTGTACAAATAGTTTATCAGTGCCTCAGAGAGCAGACTGGGGCATATCCTGGGAGCCGCATCGTAGCCATAGAGACCTTGAGGGGGGGCGGGTCTTGGAGCCACGCAGCTCCCCAAGAAGCTACAGGCACGGCAGGTGCGAAAAGGGGGTGTGTGCAGCACCCCTGTGCTGTGAATGACCCGTGTGTGGGTTTAGTTCCCCCTGTGACGCTCCCGCCCTCAGGAGACGCCACCCGCAGAAGGTCAGCGAGGGTCCGCGGCCTGGGTCGCCGTGTGGAAAGGTTGGCCTGCGGCGTGGCCGCCTCAGGGGCCGAGGCCTCGCCTCCACCTCGCCCAGGGCTCGGCTCCGCGTCCCTCCGGCCCAGGTCCCGCCGGCCGGTTCCGGATGTGCACCGGGAGCGCCTTGCTGGGGCTGCCCTTGCTCCCGTTGGTTCTCGACTTCCGCTGGGGGTGCAAGCAAAGGCTGGTGGGGGTCCCCTTGGGGCTGGGGCAAATTTGGGGGCCAGGGCTGCTTTCTGGGGGTGAAAGCCAGGAGCCCCGGGCACCCCAAGACCCTCGCTCTCTGCTTTCAACCCGTAGACCCCGCTGAGCCTGCCCCCTCGGCCACCCAGAGCCCCACCCGGCCCGGCGCGGGGTCCCCAGGACTCGGCCGAGCCCCGGGCCCTGGCTGCGGCAGCCGCACCCGCGATGCCCCCCAGCGCCCCGCGCAGGGTCCAGGGGCGGCGGAGAGAGAGGGCTGCGGAGCGAGCCGCGGGAGAGCAGGGGAAATGCAAATGTTTCTTATCCTCCTTTCTTTTAAACGCTGAAACCAGCCTTGACAGCCCCTGAAAATAAATGGCACCGACTCGCTGGGATTTCAAATTCCGTGATTAAGGGCTGAAGCGCACGGCCCTCCCTCCCGCCTCCCCCTCCGCCCGCCCCCGCCTTCCCCGCCCCCTCCCCGCGGCTGATAGGGCGCTGGCGGCCGGGGACAGC